TCTAAGTAATTTTTTGAAGTTCAAGGAACTTTATGCACAGTTTTTTATCCTCACTCTCACTTGACCAATTCACCTTAATTACCCAATACCAGCTTGTCAATTCAACACTGCTCCTCTTCTGCTGTCTTCTCTTAATTACAATATTTATCATCTACTCAACTAGACAAACTTTTTTATGACACTCCAACATAGTAATGAAGATTCCATTAAAGAAAGACTCTAGAAATATATACTCAAAATTTATCTTCTTTATTTTCGAACAAATTCTAACAAAGAGCGATTCCAAATAACTTGTGAGTTTTCTATTTTTCACTTGGCTCTGGTTGATATTTAAGAAGATCGACATGCTTTTCAGAAACATAAGCTTAAACATACAGTCCTTCATAATAAGTTGGAGTGAGGGGGGATCAGAAGTTAAATCAATATTTGACAGGCCCCACCATATGATGTTAGGAGATTATTGGCATAGTAAAATCATCTGAACTAAAAAAATATCATTCGTAAAGTTAAGAGCATTTTATGATGCTTCCATTGGAGTAAAAATGAATATGTAGTTCAGATGAATTTTGGTGTTGAGGGATGCTGTGAATGTAGAGACATCAGATACTGTACTTGCAAGATCGTATAGAAAAAGTGAGAAATTATACTGGCTTTATCAACAGGAATTCTTTTGGGAAAAAAATGTGGTAAAATAAGTATTTTTGCATGTGTAGTGGTGTGTTAACTCCTACAACTAGACTGTCAAAAAATTTTAAACATTAATAACCACAACATTACATATATAAAGTTAAATAAAATTCTAACTTTAAGACAATAGTACAAAAGTAACTAGTCATCACTTTTACAAACATCAAATCGCAAATGCATTTTCCACACGTAAACGATCTGTGACATGTCATTGAGCAGATGACAAAGAATGAATTGACAGAGAAATTGATACCGCTTTTCTAGAATTTTAAACCCAATCAAGACATATACTCAAGCTTATCGATGTTAATCATGTTAGAGGGACGAGAGCAGGGCAAAGACAGGGGCTGGATTTTCGGATATTCTTTTATTAAATCTTGTTTGACAAATTTTTATTTTTTATTTTTTTTTATTTTTAAAAAGCTTTGACAGAATGGATGCCATTTTTAGAGTCTAGGTTCCAAAACAGCAAAAGGGTAAAGCACCGCCACCCACAGTGGGCCCACACACATTCCCACCATCCTAATTCATGATCAATAATTCTCCATCCCCACACCAAGATCCAAATCCCACCTCCTTCCTATTATGAGGTTATCTTGTGTTTTGAATTTTATAGTTTGGATTATTGTGTTTCCAATTTGGTTTTGAGAAAAGATCAATAGGAGCGCCAAAAAGTTTAAGCTTCCAATATATGTAGAAGGCTGGTAATTTGCAATTTTCAATCAGTTGTAGCATTTCATTCTTCCATTACTACTACCATACATGGATCTTAAATTTATTATAGGAGATATTTATTTGTAATCTTACTTGTATAATTGCTGAAATGAGTGTACATGTATGTGCGAACTTAGTTAATGCAATAATAATTTTTAGAGATGGGGCACAGAGTCCTAAGAGATGGAAGATGTTGATGTCTTATGTTCTTATTATTGGTGTAATTCTTAGTGCAGGAAGAGCATGTGAAAGTGTTTTGACAAAAATATGGAGTTTTAAGAAAAAATAATTGTTAAGCCACTTGGTCTTAAAGATTAAGCTGTTAGAAAAGGTCACGTGTATATCATTTACCAAAAACCCCCTCACATGTAGGTGGGTTCATTTTTCCCCCATCAAAGCTTTAAATGTGCACAATTTTTAATAAATGGATAGCAACAAGTCAATAGTTCTTTACTTGAACATATCAAGGTTCATTCAATTAGAATTTCATTTATTCTTTACTTTTTTGTCACTGCCAATTTTGCTTGCTGTTCAGATTGATCAATATGCTTACCATAAATTGAATTGTCACCAAACAATTTTGATATATATACGATGTTACATTGTGATGTATCCATGCTAATCCAATATTTGACCTTGAACACAATTATGTTGGTAGGGAGAGGGAACAGCCAAGAAGCACATGGAAGTTTGACAAAATATTCAATGTTATAGGGCATTAAAAGTATGAATTTCTGCTAATAAAACAAGACCATATAATATGACGGAAAACAAGAAGCACGTGAAGTTGGACATAATATTCAATGCTTCAGGGCATAATAAGTAAGAGAGTAATGCTATTCGTAGTCGCTCACCACGGTAGTCACCCTACGTGGCATACACATGGCAGGTGATTATTTGATGCATTAATGTGGTAGTTTTTTTATTCATTAATATATCAAATAACCACCTGCCATGTGTATGCCACGTAGGGCGACTGACGCAGTGAGCGACTGCAAATAGCATTATTCTAAATAAGAATGCTCTGGTGTTAAAACTACAACCATATAGTACGAGAGAAACCAAGAAGCACGTGGAAGTATGATTAATAGATTCTGCAAGCAACTCCAATCAATAAATAGATAGAGGATGGATATAGCATACCGACTTACCATGGAAAACATATCAAAATACTCGTCAGGATTACATGGAGGAAAAGGGTCTTACCGCTCCTTCCGTTCCTGCAGGCTCCTCATCTGCTCCTTGTAATGCTTTTCTATGTACTGCTTAGCAGCCTCAACCTTCTGCTTAGTTGCAGCAGAAGGTATTTCCTCATTCAAAGGTGATTTTGACCCTTCTTTTCCAGTAGGTGTAGATTCCTTCTTACTTGATGGTTTATGTTTCTCTTTCAGACGTAATTTGCCAAACCAACGCCTAGCAATGTCCATCTAGCTTACCCTTTTCCCAGTCCTACAAATCTAATGTGTAAATATTTATCTCCCTTCTACGGGGAGTTCAATACATTAGCTACAGAATGAAATCTTTGAATTTCAGGTCCTGCATTAAAAAGTAAACACCATGTATCAATCAAAATGGGAAGCAATATGTTCTACCGATCAGCAGTCTGGTAGGTAATCAAAGAACAATTCAACTTCAAAACTTCTTTAGTGATTCTGACTGATTCTTGATGACAATTTTCAATTGCCCGGTCCAATAACAATTAGTTCTATACTAGTAAATCAAACTTCTCTTCTAACTTCCAAGTACTGAAAAAGCAAAATGACACAAATCTGAGATTTCTGTTGGTTTAAAAACTCAGAACTAAGTGCAAGTCAATAGAACTAGAAAAAAAAATATCAATTAAGCTCGCCATTTGAAAGGGACAAACAAAAAGAAGAAGAAAGCGCAAAAATAAACTGGCAAATCTATTGCAACATCAATAAGTGAAAAAGCAATCAAACCAAATGTGATTAACAATCTCCCTTCAAATAAAATCTCTAAACACCCCCAAAGCCAAAAAGAACTTGACTTTTTCAAGCAAATCACATAAACTGCCCTAAAAAACAATACACGTAATAAGAATAAAAACAATTCAATTGTACACTGCACAATTCAACACATCAAATAGATCCACGAAAACTTTTTTCCATAAATCCTAAACTCAAAAGAGAAAACAATCCCAATAAAGCAGAATTTTAATTGTACACACAATACCGCAAACATGAAATCTCTATTCAGCATTATCAACCTACCTAATCCAGAAAGTAGACAGAGAGAGATGGAAGGGATTATTAAGTCAATTCTGTGCTATATATACATTCATATATAGAAGAGAGATTGTGCATTCCAGTAAGAGAGAATAGTACAGTGGATTTTTACACCCAAATTTTCTAGATAGAGAAAGGTTAGTTGGAGAAGAAGATGACCGTGATTGCTACTTTATGCTTTTGTGCCATCACTCACCATTTAGCGCGTTCATATGTACGTATAGAGAGAGAATAATATATAGGGATAGTGTCTTCAATCTTTCAAAACTATGACATCCATATCCTCATTAATAAAAAATGTATATTTGACCATTAAGCCCTTAATATATTTGGTCCCATTATTTTTAGAATATATTTTTTCCCTTATTTTCAATTACACATTTTTTAATGAAATAATATTGCATACAAATTAAAAAAAAATATCTTATTTTTAACCACATATTTTTCATCAAAATATTATTCCAAAATATATTTTAGGCAAACGATTGGACTCAAAAAAGTCGTGTTTGATTTAGCCCCCGTTTGACCCCCATTCTTGCCAAATTTTAATGGTTGGAATAGTGTTTTGCTTGAGAAATCCAGCTTTACTTGAGGGTTCGAATCCTGAAATATATTTTCAAGGGTTCGAATCCTGAAATATGGATTTGACTCTTGGGTAAGTACAAGTGTACAAGCAACCTTCCACCCTGTACTTTTGGAGGCATAACCTGTGATTTACCTCTCTCAGGATACTTCAGGACAGGGGCGGTGGGGGATCCTTAAGGTTGGGGTTCAACCTTTTTTTAATAGTTGGAATAGTATTTTTTTTGAAAAATGTGTGGTTGAAAAGGAATGAAAAGTTTTTGATTTGCGTGTATTATTATTTTATGGAAAATTATGTGATTGAAAATAAGAAAGAGAAAAAAAATGAGAATGAGGACCAAACAAGGACTTAGTTAAAAATCATGTTTTTAATAGATTTTGATAAAAAATAAAATAAAATAAAATAAAATATATAGTTAAAAATTTGATAAAAATAATAAATTCTAATAAATGTTTAATTAAAAATGAACTTGCAGACAAATGAAATTTTAAAAAGGGACCAAACAATGGTTAAATGGCCACGTGATGCTCACTTAAAGCGAATAAGTTTTGTGAACACGTATAAATTTTATATCATTTAAATTTTTAAATGAAAGTTGAAGTTATCATTAAGATTATTTCGAAATAAAGAAAACTTCTTTGAAGAAAGTTTTCTCTTTAAATTCAATCTCACGTAAGTATCATATGATCATTTAATGTTGAAATAGACATGTTTGGCAAACTGGGGACCATCAGCGAAATTTAGCCCTTTTTTGAGTCACATCATTGAAATAAAGATGTATTTTTGAATAGTGTATTGATGGAAAATGTGTTGTTAAAAAAAGAAAAAAATTTGAATTTGCGGGTAATATTATTTTATTGAAGAAAGTGTGATCGAAATGATATCAAATTACTATTAAAAAATATTTTTTTTTTTAAATAATGTAGCTCAAACAGGCCTTAGCCTAATGTGCGTGAGTTAGAAAGAGAGAGACAGAGACTTTTTTTATTTATTTGCTTTTAAAGCAACCTGAGAATCTTTGCCTAAGTCTATCTTCGTTAGAGATTTTTTAAGATTAGATTAGAAAAATCATTTTTTAAAAAGTTTGTGGTTAAAAAATATATAAAAAAAATACAGATCCACATGCAAATTTTATTAAAAAAATATGTAATTTAAAATAAATTTTAGAAGATAAGGACTAAATAGAGGCTAAACTGAATTTAAACACTAATCCTTTTTCGATTAGGGTCGAACGAAGACATTTCACATAGAGGGATGGCTCCATCACTTCTTAGGAGTTTTTTCTAGTATTTTTTTTTTTTTCAATTATTTTCTGGATCTCTCTCTCTCTCCCCCCTTTTTTTTCACTTTAAATTAGTATTAGTAATCATTCTAAGTCCCTATTTGGTAGGATTAAGATCAGATTTTTAGTAATTTTTTATAAAAATTTATGAAACGTGTAGTTGAAAAGTTATAAATCCAATAAAATATGTTATTAAAATTAATCGTTGACTTTAATTTAGATTAATACCAGAATTTTAATTTCTATCAAATGAGGGCTAAATGCATGACCTATTGTTGTCTTAAAGCTAGTAGATTCCCTCTTCTTTTTGAGGGCCAACGCGTTAATATTTTTATAACAATTATGTTAAAGAATATTGATGGAAGTTTCTCTATTCCACTCAATTTTTCTTGTGTTTGAGGTTGTGCTTAAAGGTAGTATTTATGTCATCGATTATGCAAAAAACATATATATTAGTTGGAGAAAATTTTGGTTGGCGTGGGCTAGGTTTATTTGGTTGCCATCCTGCTCCTTTTTTTTTTTGTCCCGTAAAGTTCATTGGAGATGATGCCCAACATGGTATAGATTCCTCAAAATGATATTAGCATGGTACCAGAATTAATGGAAGAATCATGGTAGGTATTTCAGATCAAAATCAATCAACTCCAAATTTGTCTTCATCAGTGAGTCATTCCACTATTGATGATTGTTCGAGTCTTTATTTTCTTCATCACTCGGACAATCCTAGTCTTATCCTTGTTTCGAAGTAACTAATAGGTGAAAATTACACTTCTTGGAGTCGTGCTATGATCATAGCATTATTGATGAAGAATAAGCTGGGTTTTATTGATGGATCTATAAAGCTAATCTTCTAAACTCATCGATCCATAATAACAATATTGTTATTTCATGTAACTCCGTATCAAAGGAAATTTCAGCTGTCAAATGGTCCTCGAATTTTTCAATTAAGACGTGAACTAATAAATCACACGTAAGGACAACTGTTTGTTAGTACCTATTCACTAAATTAAAGACTATTTGGGAAGAGCATAGTAATTATAGAACTTCATGTTGATGTAGAAAGTGTAATTGTGGTAGAAATAAGAAGTTGGCTTAACATTATCACATGGAATATGTAATGTCATTTTTAATGGGATTGAATGAATCCTATGCTCAAATCAGAGGGCAATTACTGCTTATGGATCCAATTCCACCAATCAATAAGGTGTTTTCATTTATCTCTCAAGAAGAACACCAAAGAGTTGTAAATTTGACTACTAGAACTACTGATTCATTTACTTTTATGCCAGAAATGATGTAAAGAGGATAAGACAAATATGGGACAGTTTTATACTACGAATCAGAAGATGGAAAAACCTATCTGCACCGATTGTGGGTATGGAGGTCATGCTATTAACAAATGTTGTAAACTCTATGGATATCCACCAGAATATAAGACAAAGCAAAAATCCAGTGCAACTTGTCAAATAGGACCTAGTTCAAGCAATCAAACAGGTTATAATACTTCGTTAAATAATGCTATGGCTAACCAAGTTTCTGATTCTATTCCAGATCAAACTATTGACAACGTTGAGAATTTTGTACAAAAGTTGAATCCTGACCAATACCAACATCTATTCAATTTCCCTGGGCATTGGGGGCTAGATTCAGGGGCAACTCGTCATGTTTGTTTCAACCATGCATCTTGTCAAACATTGAAGAAAGTGCAAAATGCCTATATTACATTACCTAATCACACCAGAATTCCTATATACTTTGCTGGAAATGTTGAATTCAATCTTGAATTGATTCTTGAAGATGTGCTATTTGCACCTCAATTCAAATTCAATCTATCATCAATTAGTTCTCTAGCCAGGAACTCAAATGTAAGCATCAGATTTCTCATTAATTATTGCTATATTCAAGATCTATGCAGCTTAAAGATGATTGATGGGGGTAAAAGAGTTTATGGTCTTTACATTATTGATGCAGCTAATGCGAAAATGAATGTCATTCATTCGAAGTTGTCTATAACTCTGCTTATTTTTTTAGTGAATAATAATTCTCATGTGTGGCATCATAGACTTGGTCACTTGTCTTTTAAAAGGTTGGAGACTTTGAAAAATCAATTACATTTTAAGAATGAGAGGATTGATACAACACCTCATTATATCAGTCCACCTGCTAAGCAAAGAATGTGTCATTCGTCTCAAACAACCATCTATCTCCTAATGCTTTTGATCTTGTTCATTGTGACACTCGGGGTTCATATAGCACTTGTTCAAGTTTTTTCTCACATTAGTTGATGACTGCACAAGATTTATTTGGGTTTACCTTATGAAACAACAGTCAAATGTCCACACCATTATTCCCAAATTTTTCAGCATTATTGAATGCAATTTCACAAAGTCATTAAAGTGTTCAAGTCTGACAATTGCCTAAATTACGATTGACTAATTTTTTCATCCCAAAATGTACCCTCCATCAATTTTTCTACAGAACGACTTGAGCAAAACTCGGCTGTTGAAAGAAAACATCAACATTTACTTAATGTGGCTAGAGCCCCATTCTCTAGTCACAAGTTCCTATTTCATTCAGGGGTGATTGTGTCCTCACAGCAACATACCTCATCAATCGAACTCCCTCACAAATTCTACAAAACAAGACACCATTTTCTCTACTTTACAACTCTCCAGTGGACTACAGTTTCTTAGAGTATTTGGAAGCTTGTGCTTTGCATCTACTCTTGCCTCTCATTGTCTAAAGTTTCATCCTAGAGCAAAAGCTTATGTGTTTATTGGTTACCACCCTAGTATCAAAGGTTACAAATTACATGATATTATCTCCAAGACCATCTTTATTTCTAGAGATGTGATATTTCATAAACAGATCTTTCCTTTCCACTCTGCCACATAAACTCTTGAAATCACTAATTTTTTCCGGACTTTGTTCTGCCTAACCCTACATCTGATATACACACTCATATCTCTACTAATAAGGTATCTCCTAGTTGTCCTCGAAGCTTATATTCTCCTGCTATCAAACACATTCCTACTAATCCTATTCTCAGAAGATCTCTTAGGACTGTTCATATCTGCAGGATTTTCATTGTAATCTCTTATCTAAGAACCCAGCTCCTATCACTTCTTCATCTCATTCTTATCCCATGAGCGACTATCTTACCTATACAAAATTCTCTCATTCCCATAATAATTTTCTCCTTAATATATCTTCAAACTTTGAACCACAATTTTATCACCAAGTTGTGAAACATAATCATGCCATGAACCTTAGTCCATTACCACTTTG